AGCGCCTGTGCCCCTGGTCTGGCTCATTTGGGGACCGAGAACACAGAGCAGGGTGCAGCTTGGGCTCTGTGGATCCTACATCTGTGCTGGGAAGCTGCAAGTGAGTGTGGGGGTGCCCACATGTTTCTGCTGCACCTTCCTGCAGTGTAGGCATGCTCAAAGCCCCTGCATGGTGCACATCTTTCTCTATGTATGGCTGCATCCATATGATTATCCTCCCAAGATGCTCAAGATGACGGAATGTGTATGACACTATTAGGAGATGCTGTGTGCACTCAGACATGTCTTCTTTTTCTGTTATACAGAGGCACAGAGAATAGCGCCAAATAAACAAGGCAGGGTTAAATCTTGAGTTAGAGTCATAGAGTCACTCTTTCCTATGCTCCAGAATACAGTAATCCCGAGGAGGGTGGGCACAGACATCAGCTATGCAGAGCTGCAATGCAGAGTGCTTCCCCACCTACAAAAACCCCTCTCAGAGATGACCAACCTTCTGCAAACACGCTGTGTAAGAAGAGATGCAGATCTTTTGAGAGTCTCCAACCCCATGCCCGTGGCTAGCTCACTTATCATGAGTGGCAGGTATACTGCCGTGAACCACTGGCACCTTTCCCTAATAACATAGGGACTATAAGCCAAGCTAAGACAAGGGTGGGCAGCAGCTTCGCTGACCCACAGGTCTCACCTGCAAAGCCTCGATCTTGCTAGATCATAAAAACCTATCTGAAAACTTTCTCAGAACTGTTTACTATTTTACACACATGCATATGTGTGTATTATAAGTTTGAGAATAAATATGCATGTATATATACATATGAAAGTATATGTATATATAAAAATAAAAAACAGAGTTTCCCATATTTATATATGTATATGTGTGCATGCATGTGTACATGTATATACATACAAACATACATGTATTCTGGTTTGGTGATAAGAGGCTTCAGGGCTTGCAGACTCCTAGTTCTGTGTTGCTGCAGTGCTTACAAACCCAGTAGCTCCAGAAGCTCTGATTTCAGCAGTGACTTGCTTAGGACACTCAGGTGCTCTGCCCAGGAACCCTGGGACAGCAGGGAGGTGTCTCTGGTCCTTATACAATACATGCAGTGAGGCTGCCCTGAGCTGTCTCAATCCCTGCCTGGATATGTGGTTTCCTGCTTATTCTGCAGCTGGTGAGATGGATGTTTCTTAATGCCTGATAGGAAAGAGATTATTGAAATAAATAAGTCTCCAAACACAAACCTGAATCAGGAAACAGAGCCTCATTGCAGCACCCAGCAAAGCCAAAAGAGTAGGAAGTCTGAAGTGTCTACCAGGACACTTGAACTGGTACAACGGTTTCATCTAAAAATTACACCTTCCGTTTAAACTAGAAGCTTCCTAGATGAGAAGTGAGGATAAAGTCTGTGTCAGCACAAATAGTATCTCTCACTTGTCTGGCACTTCTCTCTCTACAACTCTGCTTCCAGGTGGCTTTGGAGCTGCCACTACGACTAGCTCTGAGATAAACTCCTGTGTCTGTGAGAAGGCCATAAATACTGCACTGACCACTTCAGCAGCAACCAGGCATGGAGCTGACAGTTCTGTAGTCTGCAGTGACTCTGATCTCTTTTTTTCTGTGTTGTAATTGCTATTGCAAGGTCCACCACTGTGGAGATACACAGAGTGGCCAGTTCCCCTCCCTGCTGTGTGCATTGTTTGCATTTATTGTTGTTGAGTCCCATCTGATGTTTCATCCTCCAGGCATTCTGGATGGTGAGAGCCTCTGTAACTCTTTGCAGGCAGTATCTCTTCTGGCTACTTGTGTCACTCTGAATCATCTGCCCTTTTCTGTGATGTTTCTGCTGACCAGCCCCCTCCCAGCACATAGTCCATTGGCACTCCACTAACTCAATCAAGTGTGAAAATAGACCATTTACTCTCATCTTTTGAAAAGACCTTCCCATTCCTATGTATAGGCTTGGAGCCAGAGATCCTATGGAGATCTCTGGTTTCCACCAACCATTGTAAGGTTGGTTTAAATGCACAGTCACTGTATTCTTTGAGTCACTCTTTGGGTCATTCTTTGGGTCACCCACTATCAGTGACTACTTCAAAGACTTCTGGTCAATTGGTGGACATACTAGTTTTATGCAAAATACTTTTCCACAATCCATCCATATTTCTACTAAATATATTCGACACATCTGCAAACTGGTATTCAGACTTATTGGTTTATGGTTTCTTGTGTCTTCACTGAACATTTTTGTAAAAATGTACACCACGTTTACCCCCATGGCTGGTGAGGTTGGTAGGTTTCACATCATACTTAGGAGCGGTGACACTTGAATCCCTAAAGCACTGTCAGGTTCTGAGGCTTTATTTGACAGATTTCTTCTAAAACCCTTTATGGTGGATCCTCAACAGGTCCACTTTCCTGGGAAAGACAGAGACCAGTCCAGTACTGGCCTTGGAGATGTTAACACCTGACCACAATACTCCATGCTTCTTGTCATTTTGCTGTGGCTTGCAGTGCCTGCTCCTCTTCCCCTGGGATATGTGACTGTTGCTTCTCCCTGAAAGATCAGGTGCAGGGAAGGGATCATGAACACAGTAGCTCAGTGAGGCTACTTTATGCTTTGACCCCAGTCTTCTGAGATGGTGAATATTCAAAGTCCCATAATGCTGATTCCAGAATTACCTCTTACAAATCTTTCATCTCCAAAACTGAACAGCTACAAACTATTTTGCAGAACCATCTAAGAATTCAAAACAAGTGAAAGACATTCTCCTTTCTGGGAAATGGCTCAATAGTCTCAGCCTCTAAGCCTTGCTAGCTGTATGATCACCATCCACACTTGACCCTTAGGAGATGACACAGCTGCTCAGAGGAATGATCTCCACAAATGACTTGACAACTGAAATCATGGTCTAAAACTGATGCTCCCCAAGACAGGGGAAGTCAGCCCTTCCACATGTACTCTTGATGTCCTTAGGAAACAGGGGTATATGGAACACAGACACTGAGATCAGACCACAGATACTGAGCCATTTTCCTGCAGGCTATCTATCTGCCTTAGATTGCACAGAAACATTAAATCTCTTCACAAGGTCCTCATGTACTTCCAGCATATGCACTGCCCAGCTCTCTGGTGCTTACTGGATATATCTGTCACCAGGAGCTGTGCTGGACCACAGAGCACTCACTATTCTGCCCTGATAAGGGCAGGCTGCACCATTAGTTACCATCTTCCTGTGGAAGGCAAAACAAGAATTTAAGTATCAAGAGCTGAGACTCGCATTGCTTTCCATTCTCCTGATTCCAATACTGCTGTAGGCATCTCTTCTGCAAGTGGGGATCTTACTGACTTCAGTAAGTGGTGAGCCTTAAATACCAGAAAAAATTAGTCATGGTGGGGAATTCCTTTGAACTAAGAAGTCACACCCCAGAGCCATAAGGATATCAGTTCTGTGTTACTCTCCAGATATCAGGAAATGGTCCCTTCTAATCTTCCAGCACACTCTACTGTTTATGGTACTGATTTATTTTAAAGAAGATTGTTTGTTTCTATGTAGATTTGCATCTGTGGGAAAAAGACTCAAATGAACTGATGTTTCTGTGAGATCCCTCTGGGGACTTGCAGGGGTCAGTGTGTGTCACAGCGTCTGTGCCACAGAAGGTTGATCTCCAGCAGGTCTTGGGTATGGAGGCACAGCCTGAGGTCTGTCTCCTTCCATCCCATCTCCTGTTGGTCATGTCCACTTAGTTCATCCTCTCCTGAGTGAATGATCCCAATCCGTCTTGGGCTGCTTCTCCCTAATGCCTAGCAGCTCCATTTTGCGCAGAGCCCTTCTGTGATGGCTTTGCTTCTTGAATCTCCACAGCATGCTCTGGGTAGGCAAATCTGATGGGATGAAGTCATGACCCCACGTGTCAGCTAGTGATAATTTTCTGCAAGCTTTTTTAGTCATGCTGATGAAGGCCCTGTGAGAAGATACAGCTGCACTGCCACAGAACTCTGGTAGGTGTCCCACACTGGCATAGCAGTGTCTCCTGGAGGATGAGGAAGGTTGGGGAGTGATTTGCCTCTATTAATATGCATTTTAGGAAGAGTGAGTTCTTCCATTCTTAACCAAAATAGTTATGCTGATAGCACTAAAGGCAGGGCAGACATCACAGGTAAATCTGTAGCTAAGGCTCGCAGAAACCTCTGTTCCAGGAGAGGATGGGCTTGGAATATCATTTGAAAATACTGCCACATGGATATCATTACAGTAGAAGAAGCAAGGAACTCATCTTTCCCTGAGGCAGACATTTCAATGGGCCAGAGGAACTGCCGGTTAATGAGTCCCAGTGACAGAGACATTGCTCACTACAGCCACCAGAATTCAGGTGAGACTGAATCTCCTGCTTGGAGTCTGCCCCAGCAGGTCAGGAACCTGCAAAGATGTGAGCTTCTCTTTTCATGCCCAAGACTCAGTCTGAGAGTGAATTACACAAGAAAAGGAATCCTCAGGGCTTGCAAGACAAATATTCAGCATATTCCTCTCCTTGCCCTTGGATAGTCAGAGATTTTCTAAGCTGTATGCAGGAATCAGCAACATCTCTAACTGTGAAA